CCGGGGCGCCGCGGCGCTACCCACCCGCGGCGGGATCGTCTGCAAGAAAATTCTTTTCAACAAGATTTTCACGTTCTCCGTTATCTGGTTGTATCGTAAATACTCACTTGAACGGCTGCAACAACGGTGATAGCATCATTATTAATTTTTTCTTACTGTATCACACTGGAACGCGAACGATTAAAAAAGAAACAGGTCGGGGAGGCGGCACGTAATAGTTCCTGAAAAGGTGGATCGAAATTCCGTGGACTAGGTCGTGCGCGGGGTGTAAGCGACGTCCTCGTTGTTATTGAGGGTTCTAATAATCTGAAATTGGTGCCAGTGGTGGCAATCGTGTTGCGATTTCACCGAATTGGTCGTAACGAGAACACCGGAAAAAGAAACCGACGTATCATCAACGTTCTAGCACCAAAGGAGCAATTTATTATCCTTTGACAAATGTTCAAGTTTTAAGAAGATGTGTTTCTTTCATCTTCAAGTATTGTAGTGTATTGTAACATCGAGGAAGTGAAAGAAAAAAAAGTTTGAGAAACAAAGGAAAAAAAAGACGCGCTAAGTAGCCCGGAAGAAGCTGTCATCGAGCAGCTACGACTTCCAGGATTGTTCATGTATCGCCAATGGATAGCTTATAAATCGAAAGGGGGCGCAGCGGACTGCCCGGACAAGGTGTCATCCGGCTGGTGATTGCTTTGTTCTCGCATCGTTCCTCGTATACGAGGACATAGGATCACGAAGCTGTGGCTGTTTCAATCCGTTGAAAATAGTGACAACCGAGTCTAAGGTAGGCGCCGCGGCGCCGAGATGGGCCCTACCAGTAGCCGCGAACAGATTGGGGAGCAGATCGGCGACGATGATGGCCTGCAAATCAAGCCAAAACCTATGGTTAATCATATCGTAAGTTTTTTTCATTTCTTGTTTTTATTGCTTTTTTCTCTCTACTAACATAGGTTAAAAGTTAAAACCGTTTTTGTTTTTTAATTTTATTTTTAATTTTTATAATTTTTCTTCCATAATATTTCAATTTATATTTTCATAGTAATGTGTAATAATAGAAGAATCATCATAAGAAAAATTTTATTGAATATTTGAAATGGTTAAATGTGAAATAGTTAATGGTTAAATGTGAAATGTGTAAATCGAACACTATGATTTGTTACTCTATTTTCGTCATAAAACAGAAATGTATTCGCGTGTCTGCGTTAGAATTCCCTTCATGATGAAACTCTGTTTAATATAAGAATTGTTTAATTTAGAAAATAACTTCTGCTCAATCGTATTGAATTCCGAAGTAAACGAAGTTTGAAATTTTTTCTGATTCTCTTTAATACTTAACTTTTTTTCTTCCTTGATTATTCTCTTATTCATTAAATTGCATATATTTGTTGGTATCATCTTGCTTGTGTCACGTCCAATGTTTGAAAGATCTTCATCCAACAGTGATATCTTGTGCATATTTGAAATATCTGGGTGTATACACAGTTAGAACTTTGTACTTATCGATAGATCAGTAGCCGCGCATTTTATTTCCGCGCGCACGATATTGCATTGCGTGAATGATGTCTGCGTGGAAATCTGTAGCAGAAGGAAGACGGTTGATTTTGTGTGTAACAAAGAGAAGAAGAAAAGGATAAGAATATAGAAAGAGAAATCGTAAAACAAAGAGAGAAACATGAGCAAATCGAAACGATGGAATACATGAAGAAGAGTTGGCAAGGGAAATGAAGTGAGATGGATTTCATAGAGTGGGGAATTGGATGGACTCAACCGACTGCGATGCGATAAGTCAGCCGGTGGTTGAGCAGCGCGCATTTTCATATCGCTTCTTTCTCGTTTCACAGCTGGACACTGTCCACTCAGGTGGCACAAGTACGGCCATCTCTTTTTCCCTCCTTATTCGTTTTTTCATTTACTGTGAGGGTGTATTCATCTTTATTTAAATAGAACGCCAATATCGCGTGATGTCGCCTAAAAATAAGGTATGTAAAATAGATTTTCTAATCGAATAATAGTCTATAAAAATTTTTACCTTATCATGTTCGTTTTATTTTGTTACTTTTAACTAAAGACATCGCTTCATGTCATTAAAATCGCATATTAAGATAAGTAAAGTAACATAGTAAAAGTTGAATCGTGTTTATATTGAAATTATGATGTTGACAATGATTACAACTTATATGATCTATTCCATTGATATATTACCATATGAGTTGACTTCAAAAAGATTGAATAACAGCAATTCGTTGTTTCATCGGTTTAATAAAAATTTAATTTATTGATAACGAAATATTTTCGATTGATAAACATGTTTTTTTTCGTGCGCACGTGTACAAAAATTTTATTAGTAATTTTCATGGCATTTTTGAATATTTTTAAATATTATTAATTAATATATATTAATTAATATATATATTATAGAAAATTATAAATTGAATGACAAAATATACGATATGATTAAATTAATCACGAAATGCACAAGTGAAAGTGGTTTGTGTTACCTAGTTGGAACAATGATAATTCTTGCAAATAGCTCATCAGTATATCGTTGGTAATATTAGAAAGAATAAATTTCGCGTATGAAATTTTGTATTTTGGGTGGAGTTATGGATGTTATTATTTTTTTGTATTATGTACCTCGTAGATTATATCACGTGCCAGTTTATGGATTGATGTCGAGCCATGGATTAAGATGTATTACGCGAGAACATCTTATCTTTTAAGTGTTTGTTGAATTCGTTATCATTCTGTATCGATGTCGAGTATTTCCCTTATCCTTCGACTATTCGGCCGATAAATATTAAATTGTAAGTAGGAATACCTATAAATTTGTTTCGATTGTTTCTATCAAAGACTCTTATTTAGATGTCATTAACACAAACAAATTTCGATAAATAAGAAATGAATTTCGGACACCTAACCTTCATTAAATTAATAAAGTAATTAATGAGGTCGATTGAACTGATTGTGACAGCGAATCATGGATAGAATAAATAGACAATTAATCACAGTGATTACAAACGGTAGTGAATTTTCCTAATTCCTTTAAACAGATTAAATTTGATTAGATCGAATCACATGATTTTAAATAATTTATTAGCGATTTTTCAAGCTTATAATGAGTGGTTCTATTTTCTTTTAATCTTTTTTTAAATTTTTGTTTTATTATAATACAAGCGAATAAAAAAAAGTATCATATCAATTCAACAATTCGGTAAGATTATAGTTTAAAATAATTACTCACACAATGTGATTCATCGAAATAGGGAGAATGTTGCTCTTCCTTTCTTGATTATATTCATGCTTTTATCACAACTCCTGATATCTCGCGGTCCTAAGCAAACTGGGACAATGAAGAAGAGACTAACATCGTCGTAAACAATGATCTGTTACAAATCAAGAAAATATCATGATGTAGTTCTTGTTTACGGTTTCTGAGTCATTTTAAAGCACTGTTGCCGCTGATATTTCTAAGAAGACAAGAACCAGATGTTCTTATGATTACTATAAATTATGAATTTTGTTTACGCCTGCACGTGTATATCTATATCATTTTCATGAAAATACTATCGAAAAAGAAAGTTTGGTACCTACCTATAACTTTCGAATTCAATTAATCAAATTCAAATTGAGACAAAAAAATTCTTATTTAAACGTATTGATTTTTTTTCATAAAATAATATTATCTGATTGTTCCTGTCAGTTAATTTTTGTGCGGAGATCAAAAGCAGATGGTGTTTTCATGTATCGTGCCTTCAACATTAATTGTCGCTAGTTATTATCTAATTAATTCATAAACGTGCTCGAGCAGACGAGTAAAGCATCAGTGGAATGCAGCATGTTGCAGTAGTAACTCTCGCGTGATCGACGTTACATACCAGTGGTACCATTCTCCTCCCGTCTACCTATCCCTTTTATCGGTGCTGATTCTTTGAGTGTTTCCACCACTGTTACATATCGACTCGAGATCATCTTCAGAATGTTTACTTAGTGCCCTCCTGCTTCAGCGCCCCGCCCCCTTTCGCCAGCTATCGTTCATATCGCTGTAATTCGATCGTTTGGTGATTTTCGTCGTGACGGCCATCATTAAATGGCAATCGATTAACCGCGATTCTATGTATCGGTAATCTCGATAGTATGATATATTTGGTAACCTTCATTCGCGTGCAAGATTAATTTCATGGTAGTGTAAGCATCGACTTAGATTATTAGTGCGCGCGTCACGCTACTATATGATGGTCACTTTACGATATACAATGTTTCGCGTACGATTATTTAGCTGTTCGACCATGAACATGATTTCTCGAAGCCACCTGATAGCAACACACCACCGGGAACTGTCACTTTCTTCCTGAAGTACGAGAGCGTTGCCAGCAAATATTTGCTTAGTGAGGTAACGTTTCGAAACTCTAAAAATTGCATAAACGGTTGAGGTGGACTTGTCTCTATCCCGTGATATTAAAAAAAAAACTACAACGCGCGTGCATCGGACTAATGGCTAACGCGGAACGATATGTCGAAACATTAAACGTAAGTTCAAGTTGCTGCTATAATTGCACGTTAGAATAAATAACTTGTCGATCTCTATACTATTATACCAGTCAAATATGAATCATCTATGCTGAGCAGAGTCGAGTGACATTGAGCTGCAATGTATTGGTCAATCGGTGCAATATCTCCCATAATACACAAAGTAACCCTTGATACAATTATTGATTCGTTAAACGATACTAAAAAGTTTTTGACTTTGCGTGAAGACCAGCATCATGAAATTATTTATTTTTGTGCTTTCTTGTCCATAACAATTATATTTTGAATTAAATAAAACATTGATTAAGTTTTTTTTGATTCGTATAATTTAATTTTTTAGTTTAATCTTTATTATCATAAATTAACATTTATTCTTAAAAATGTGTTTTTTAGCGAAAATATTTTAAAGTTGTTAAATGTCTTTGAGATAAAAAAATTGAAAAATAAATTTAATTTGTATAATAATTTCTCTAAAATTTTATTTTCTTAATATTCTTTTAAAAAGAATATTTTTGATATAAAAAAATTATTAAAATTTTTTTAAAAGTATATAGTATAACTAATTCGAATTGTATCATAATTTAAACTTCTTGATATTTATACTTTTATAAAAACATAAAGTATTTTAAGTAAATGATTTCGTATTGAAAATATTAAAAATATCTATGTGTATAAATGTATATAAATAATCATTGAAAATTTAGATCGATTTTTTTTTCTTTAATATAATTGTATTTTATATTAATTAAAATAATTAAAAAAAATATATACATATAAAAATTTAAAACATCTTTTAAAATCTTGGTTCAGCAAATTCACAAATCGTCTGGTTGTCGCGCCACGTAATTGTGATAGGGTGGGGACGCATGAGACGCTTCGCATTTATAGGTTAACTTTTCGCGCACAAACGATCAGTGCCGCTTCAACGAGAGCTCCGTGCTCTCTCGTTGTCGCAAGCAGTTCTTTTGTTCGGCGGGTACTTAAATTCTCACGAAGATCCGTGTAGTTTAGTCATTTGTATATCTTAGAATCGTAAAATATAATAATAGTAAACACAGTGTATTCGCACATACATTCGCAATCACCAAAATGCAGTGATTACATTATTGACACATCGTTGCATGTTGTTTTATTCATTCAGCATTATTTTTGCACTATACAAAGATCACAAAACACAATGACAGAAGAAAGAATATTGTGCACTTAGAAAATAAAGTTATTTTATACATGGAAATTTGAAGAAGGCTCTATTACCGTGTTTGTATATAAATAGAATTTCTGTAGTGCGTAGTGATACATAGCAGTTATACGTCCAACAGCAAAACCAATCGTTTCTGCCGGCAAACTTGTCATGACAATTTGCGCGTGCTGAATCATTTTAGGTGTATAGTGCCATTTCATTCGTGTGCATCCGAAACTCATGGCTGAATCTTATTGATGAACTGAATTTATTAAGACACGTTACTGTATGTGTATCGTTATCGGGTGTTGCAAGAAGGAATAAAGCAATATATATTCTTAATTTCTTCACAAAAGTGTACTTTTTTAGAAAAGTTACTGCGCACGTTTTTTAAGTTCGGTTGATCCATAATACATAGAAGGCAGTGAGCGTGCGATGATCGTATGATAGAAGTTGACTCGAAGCGCGCGAGTGTGAAAGACATGGCAGCGGATTTTGATGATTGATATTGCTACTCCTGTTATTTGCTAACAGGGGGAGTGTTAAATCGCGCGGAAGTGGCGTAGCGTGGCAAACTTTGAGGGATAAAGTCACGGAAAGAAAGAATATACAGCGCGCACAGCTGCGCGCACTTCTACGAAAATAGAACTCTGCACAGTGTGTGGAGGCCAACGACGAAACGAACGGAGTCTGACATTAAAGCGATCATAGAATGTCGCGCGTGTCGCTCAACAAGTCGCAGTACAGCCAATACGGCTCGCGTCGCGTGCGGAAGATCAGTACGGTACGTTTCGAAAATTCGTCCCTATTTGGTAATATGCGTGCGTTTAAGCATTTCTTGTCTTCATTCTTGGGTGATCTGATTCGCCTCGAATTTCAAGGCACGATCTCGTTTCGCTTTTCTTTATAGTTTCTTCGTACGTGTTCGGAAACAACACGTGACTTAGCCTTGATAAATGTAATTTACACTTTTGTAGCAGTTTCTGACAAACGCGAAACACCATACACGCATTTGTATATATCGTCAGCACAGCCGTGTATCACTGCGTACTTGTGTGCACAATTTGCACCCGTTGCAAATGTGACACCACCGTCACGAAAACAAGGTCGAAAACAATACTCTTGTCAAGTTTCCTTTGCCTTGACGTTAGGTGGCGCACGCTTTACCAATTCTAATGACAGTAGATCAGCTGATTCGGCTGACCTTCCATTCGGCTAAGTCACTATCGAGTCACTATCGATGCTTTCGTATGTCTTAGCGCTATATTTGAATTCATTTAATATGTTGGCAGTCTAGATCATTGTACGAACTCTTTTATTCTAAAATATTTATAAAACAAATCCTTACGGATTTTTTCTTTTACGATTATGCAAAATATGTTCAAATTCAAGAAGGCATGGAACTATATTCTCTTGTACGTTTTTTTTTTTAAATTTATTAGTATCCTTATATTATGTTAAAAAAGTATTAAAGAGTTATACATTTTTGTGAAGCAGAGTCATTTTTATCGCGTGATCAATATCGTTTCTTGTTTATTAGATTCAGAGGAAACACTATTTTACCTTGGATAAACGTAGCCTTAGGGAATGGTTAAGTCACAGTAGCCATATAATATCTATGCTTGCGTTTGCGTTATGAGATCATCTTATAATATGGCACGACCGCTCGTTCTCACATTACGCTCCAAAAGATGTCTTCCGGAATTGCGTTCTTGTTGATTCATTTAATTTCATCATTATAATTTCATTAAATTTCTATTTTAATTGGAGAAAAATGTGTAAAAATAATTTTTTATTTAAATGTCTATAATTTTTTGAAATTTTTAAAAATTCTTATTTAATTTACTAATCAGATACATATAGAATGATATGTCTATATATTTACACATTAGTATGAAAGAAAGGTATTTGATATTTTTCTTATATTCTACAAGGTGAACTACCACTACTTTATATAAGACAAACATAAATATTAACATTACAATATTATAATGTTACAAGATTCAAAATATATTCAAATTTTTTAATAATAGATGAATTAAATCTGATTTTTATTATTTTTAATATATAATAATTTATTAAATAATGTTAGAGACAATATAATATCTAACTCTACATTTATACATTATCATTAAACTGATGAAAATATTTACACTTTTTACAGACGGAAAGTGAATATTCTGTAGAAGAGCATGCAAAATTAACTGCTACTGATGGAGCTAGTGATGAAGCATCTCCAGAAGATGAAGGAGGATCATTATGTGAATACCATGATATACCACCTCCACCAGATGGTGGATATGGATGGGTGGTGGTATTTGCATCATTCATGTGTAATATGATAGTTGATGGTATCGCTTATACATTTGGTGTTTTTCTGGGAGAATTTGTTACATATTTTGGAGAAGGAAAAGGCAAAACTGCGTGGGTTGGTTCATTGTTATCTGGCATGTACCTCAGTGCTGGTAAATTTTTTTATTATAAAATATCTTTTTTTTTGTAATAATAAAATATTAATTTTAAATGTTACAATCATTTTCTAGGACCTATTGTCAGTGCTTTAACAAATAAGTATGGATGTAGAGCAGTATGTATGGCAGGAAGTTTTTTAGGTGCAGCAGCATTTGTACTTTCAACATTTTCAACCAGTGTAAATATGCTTATGATAACTTATGGTGTTATGGGAGGTGTGTGTAATATTTTAGATTTTAAATATATTAGATTTTAAGTTATTTTTTAGATACAATAGTTTGAATTATTATATTATAATAATTACATTGTTTCAGGAATTGGATTTGGTCTAATATATTTGCCAGCAGTAGTTTGTGTAGGTTATTATTTTGAAACCAAAAGATCATTAGCTACAGGTATTGCTGTATGTGGTTCAGGATTTGGCACATTTGCATTTGCACCTCTTGCAACAATGTTATTAGAAGCATATAATTGGAAAGGAGCAAATTTAATTCTTGCAGGCCTTATTTTAAATTGTGCTGTAAGTAATATCTATAAGTTTTCTAAGAAATTATAGAACATAGATTTGATGATAACAATAGGTGAACATTACAGGTATTTGGTGCAATGATGAGGCCATTAGAATATCCAAAAGCTTCTTCTGTTAAACCATTGTTACAAAGAATGGCAGAGGAGAAAAGATTTCAAATGGAACGTGGGAGTATTGGGGGTTCTTATTTCATGGTACAACTGCCTGATGGATCTATGGAAAAGAGAATGAAAATGCCTATTAATATTGATCCTGGTGTTCATTCCAGTTTCAATTTAGACCAATTAGTGCCTGGTAAGAAAATATGAGTTGAAATTAATATTGATAATTAATTGATTATAATAAGGTAATCTAATATGGTTTTTATGATATATTTTATTTTAATATTAAAGGAACTCCTTTAACACCAGTTCCAACGGTACCAACTCTTCCCACTATATCGGAAGTGAAAGTACAAGAACACTCTTCTAGTGGAGCAACTAGTAATAGTGGCAGTATGGATTTAAAAAACATTTCCACTAAATCAAAGAGTAGAAAAAATATTGATGATACCAAAGATATAGAGAAGTCTGAAAGCGAATTCAAACCAATAATTCCTAGAAATGCTTCACAGCCTGCTTTTACAACTCATGTACAAGGTTTACCTAAAAATGGTTCTGTACCCTTTTTTGATAGAATCCGCAAAACAAGTACTGGTGAAAGATATAAACCAAGTCTTAGTGCCATTAAGAATTCTAGAACAACATTGAATTCTAATGGTGATATTAGAAAGAGTTTACATTTGAGACTTTCGACAAGCAGTGTTATGGGTTCTCGAAACAATAATGCGGAAATAGATGTACGTTTTATCATACTTTTTCGAACACTTAATTTAACAAAAATATTATGTAAATTATAAACAATATATATTTTATAGGATGGCGAAAGTATTACTTTTACCACCAGTAAGACTAGTATTCCAAAAGAAAAACCACAGATAATTCGACCACTATCAAGAAAGGATATTTTTTATAGTGGTAGTGTTGTTAACTTACCAGAATATCAAAGTCAAAAATCACTTGCAAATTATCGTCAAAGTGTTATTTCTTTATCAAAATCCGTTCGTGGAGATATTAAAGATACCGACATTGAAAAGGCGCGCGAGCGTAAGAAATTTTTCAAAGATAAATATGCAATGATTTATAAATTTTTATATTAAAACAATAAATGTTACAGAACCTCTATGTCCTTGTTTGGTATTACCTGATTCGTTTAAAGAAGCTCTGGCAACTATGATGGATGTATCTTTGCTAAAAGATCCAGTATTTCTTTTAATTGGTATTAGTAACGTATTTGGAATGGCTGGTTTATACGTCCCTTTTGTATATTTATTAGATGCTGCAGTTTTAGATGTAAGTTAAAAATTATAATAATTTCTTTTTTTACCTACATTTTTGTAATCATATATATATCAATTTTTCAATACATATCATTTTTAGAATATTGACAAGACTCTTGCATCATATTTAGTATCTATTATTGGAATTACCAATACTCTGGGTCGTGTAGCTTGTGGATACATTGCGGATTTTCCACAAGTAGACTCATTATTGTTGAATAATATTTGCTTAATTATATCAACAGTTGCTGTGGCTGCAATTCCGTTTTGTCATTCGTATCCTGCTTATATTATTATGAGCATTCTTTTTGGAATAGCTATATGTAAGTATTAAAATTAATAAATTTTATTTTTAAGTTTAATTTTTTTTTTGATATTATATATTTGTTTTCATAATATTTCAGCTGGATATATTTCTTTGACGTCAATTATTTTGGTAGACCTTTTGGGATTGGATAAATTGACCAATGCATTTGGCCTTTTAATCTTATTTAGAGGAGCAGCAGCTATCATTGGTTCACCTTTAGCAGGTGCTGTTTATGACGCAACGCAAAGCTATAGCATCCCATTTTTTATGGCAGGATTTTTCTTCCTTGTAAGTACAGTTACTAGTTTCATGGCTCCAGCAATGAAACGCTGTACAACGCCACAGGTAAATATAATAAGTATAATATACATATAAACATTATTTTTAAATTATTTTAAATTAACAAAAAAACATAAAATTTGTTACAGACTCAGCCTGTGATATTAGATACATTGACTCCAATTGATGAAGATATCGAAGAAGAAAATGAAGAGGATATTCCTGAAATTGTAGAAACTGCGCCATCTCCGCAAGAACCTCCTGAAAAGGAAATTAAACAAATAGAATCTGTTTTATAAAATCTGATCTGTATAAGGAGAAAAAAAAAAGCCTTCATCTCCGAGCCATACTGTGATAGGGCTGCTGCTTCAAAAAGGTCTGAAAAAAGTACTTCTTCGTTATACATTTTAATGCTAAAGCACAAATTAATGAGTACAACCTGATGGTATTTTTAACGTATTTAGAATTTTGCAATTGTATCTAATTTTTTTTATGAAACTCTAATATATAAATATAAATATACATATATACACAAATACATAACAATGTAAAAAATGCCATCAGGTGGAGAATTTCATTTGCCTATGTCAATAGTAGATGATAGATAGAAAAATTTATTAACTTAATCAGTATAGAATGATCAGTATAAAAAATATTGAAAAAGTGAAAAAAATGCTTTTGCACTTGCATATCGAATAATATTGAAATGAATATTATTAATCATCACAAATGATAAATATTAATTTAGAATAAGGATGGTCAATTTTCATTTTTTATAAATGGCTCTCTTCTTTATGCTCATTTATATCTATTATAGTACTTTCTAGCAATATTTACTCGTATTCTATTTTTGATCTAAAATTTACGTATCGAAAACAACGAAAGTTTGCTATACTATGTCGATTTTTCGTATTATTTATGTTAGTAAATATCGCATTTGACTTTTAATGTTATATATATTACATGGATAATCCATGCAATGATTGACCATTCTTAATCGAGAATACCCATCTACAATATATTACTTAAATCTATTTTTGGTCGCAATCCAAAGATACAATTCCAATTAAATTACATTCAGAGAGATATTTTTCTTGCATACACAACAAATGTATATACATATTATAGATTAAAAAATGTGGATTAGTTAACATACAGATAGATTCGCTATTGCGGAAAAAATTGTAAATAATTATATAGGCAATTGTAAAATAGTGTATAACGAATTCCGAAAAAACTAGGCAAATAGAAAATATATAATTTTTGTTTTGGGACATACGTCCTTGTATTAATGTATTGATTATGAATAATTAACATGCTATTAGATAGAAATTAATTAATATATTAATGATTCAACTAGAATGTTTATTTCATTGAATGTATAAAGAAAACATTTCGTCTTATGCAATCTAGTTTGTGTAAATTAATTCTTTAGTTAACAGAATTGACTGTCGGGAAAAAATGTGAAATAATTGAAGTATATTAATTAACACAAACTAATTCTCGACTAATACACGTGTTGTTCGACACGACTTTCGGCAAAGTTATAGTTTGTCGTGTCATACTATATACTAATTAAATATTGATTATCGCGAATAGACAAAATGTTATTCATTTATATATGATACTTTTTATTTACAATCGCATACATGCCTATGATCCATATAAATATATAAATCTATATATAGATATATATGTATTTTTTTTTGTTATATAAATTTATATATTTATATATATATGACGAATGAAAAAAAATTGTAAATCTTGTTAAACGGCATACAACAAATGTTAAACTTGTATGTACATTGTATATACAGCGTTTATTGGTAAGCCGATTACGGTGATTAGTTATCAATATGCGTAAGATTTGGATAACAAAAAAAAAAGAAACGTTATTATCAATAAGAAAAAATATACCAACAGTGCTATTATCACTGCTACTGCTATCACTATTACCATTAATATTACTATTACACTATATTAATTAGTACAACTATTACGACACTTATTTTTATTCTCATAATTGTCGTGCAGAAAGACCGTGTTTTTGTGATTTGAATTGAAATATAATGTATACATGTTATTCAGTCGGAAGTGTACACATGTGCACGCGTGTCGTCGTGACAAAAGTGTACAGTAACACTTATTATATACATATATAGAGTATATATTATCGACGCGCGTGTTCATATGACATTTCGCATGCGCATGTTCGTATGTATGTATGTTAGGAGGAATAGGCGGGTTTCTAGTAGAGATACACGAAGCATGTGTTATGTCGTGTGTGCATAATAGAGGCATACATATGCGTACTTACATATACACATGAGCGTATCAATACACGTGCGCACGACTTAATCTTGTGCATATGTTAAAAGAAAACAATAAAAGAAAAAAAGTGAAGTATATATGCTATGGTACAAAGAAGGACAAATGTATTAGGTGACGTTTATTGAAATTGAAGAGGAATTATGAATTTTTATTACTGAAATATTGCATTGCTTGTTTATTTATTAATAATATGTATTTCCCTATATTTCCCACGAATGCACTCAAATAAGTACACATATGCGTTGGCGCCATTTTGCTTTTTTTAAAATTATATCGTTTTACTACGTTTTCATAATATTTTTCTTGCTGCATGTAAATCACGAGCACGCAGTAAATTATTAGCAATAAAACATTGTAATATGTCAATTAATTTACTTTATTGTTACATCGGCAATTATCAATTATCAATGATGATTTATCGGTGTAGAATTTCTTAATGTTTCAACTTCTTTTTGATTCTTTAATTCAATTTTACCAAAATATATTATAAATATATTTTATTACTATATATTTTTATCATTATAATTCTAATTATATAGTTATTAAATATTGTCATCGAAAATTTGCTTGCAATTACTGTCAACATTAAAAAAATAAATAAATAAGCTAAATCACTGTAAATATAATATATAAATAAATTGACATAAATATTTAATATAGATAATGATAAGACATTTGAGGATACGAAAAAACATTTAATTATCAATGATAGTCAAATTAAAGTGAAAGGCCAAATATATCAAAAAATCTGAAGACTCGTATGTGGCAAGTATAAAATTATGAAAATGTTTTCTTATTTAATTTTTATTTCTATGGAATGTTTTTAATTGCACATCAGACACAAATTTTTGAAATTTTTTAAATCATTCGATATCGTCTATTGATACCGTTTTCTCCCTCTATTTCGAATGGAATGAGAGTTCGTCGCGCGATAGGCGTATATTCTTGGCGCGACCTACCTTAAGTAAACTTACACTTTCGTTTAAGCACCACTGTGTAACAGGAGGGGCTAAACGTAGGAAACAGAGAGGAGGTTTATCGCCTCCATTTCTTTCTGTCGCGTGAGAATTGCAAGTGATTTGTCGTTATTTATCGCGATTACTTCGTGCTTTTTCCAATAGTTTATCGCGTGCCTCTAGCCTCCTTGTCTTTTTCTTTTTTTTCCCTTCCTCTCTTTCTTTTTTTCTTTTTTATCTCTTTTACACGATCCTCAAACTTCACTACTACCATTAACTTTTATGGCACTTGCCCCTTTGGTCTGTTCACTTTTTCTTCAGTCGGAGCAGACGACACCAGGCTGCGTGCAACGTGAATGTGACACCGAAGTTCAAGCTTCGTTGACAACGATCATGACACATACGTGAGTGAATTTGCTCGATGATACTTGGAATTCATGGTGGATTATCTTTCGTTTCTGTGAAATTTATCTGAGTAAAAATATTGTAGAAGAATGATCAATTGCAATAGATTGCAATGATCAATCGTTAAAAAGTAAAAAATCAATAGATTCGGAATAAATAGATTTCTTTAAAAGAAACTTTTTTACAAATCTATGATTGTATTTGTGGCAGAAACAATCGACGGAAATGATTATTGAAAGAATTAAATATATATTATTATTAGCTGAGATGAATATGGATTAAGAAAAAAAAGAAGTTAGTGTTTATTTCAGCGCCATGTGAGTTGCGCCACGCGCGACGTTGCATTTCATAGACACGTGTAGTCATGGTTCGACAATGCCGCCTTTTTTCACGCGGGAATTAGCGAAACTTGTATAGTGTTTTGTAATAAATTTTACGCGAGTCAGTTATAATTAACTAATTTATTAATTGACGAATTATCGTCAAATTATACAAAAATATAATCGTATCACCTCTTAAATACACATTGTTGCATATAACTATTGCTATAGAAAAAGAAAAGAACAAGGACGCGGTTAAATTGATGGATTAATAACGGTATTTACCTGTGCCTGGACATTTTGAGTAATTTTTTTCACCGCTAATTGCGTCATCGAGCTCACTATCACAGTCTTATGGTTGGAAACGTCGAAACGAGTTGTCAAGTGGTTCGGTGGTCACACAATCTCTACTGGAACGGGTTATCGGACAGTCGCCTCCAGAGTTCTTATCGACAATCGTCGGAACTCGCGTCGCGCGTGTTGACCGTATAAACTGCGATTCCATATCGTTACTACGTGCAACTGTTCGATCTTTTCATAGCCGGAGGGTGGTCTATATCGATTTCGATTCTCGATCGAACGATGCGCGGGCGTCTCGATCTGTCTCGATGAGAATCGATTGCAATTTTCGAGTAATATGTCGTCAGTAGGCGATCAACTATTAATGGCTTAAACGATTAAAAGAATTTCTTTTATCCTTCGCGAACCAGTTTCGTTGACAAGATATTTTAATATATTCTGTAAAAAATTTAACGATTAATGTTGCAAAAAAAGGATCAAGATCTACGGAAATACTAATCATCGTGATTATTGTGAAACTTGTAAAGAATTTTTGAATAAGAATTTCCATAATATAATTGTAACTTTCTACGTTTATTACGTCACGCTTCGTGCTGCCAGCAGATCATCAGGCGCCGTGAGTCGAAACATATATCCAACGGGACGATCCTGTGAGCTCGAGACGGACCAATCTGGCATTCGGTCGTTATCGGTGACCGATGGAAGCCGTGCACACCCGACGGGATACACTGATCGCGCTTACTCTCGGTCACATCGCGCGTACCGTCTTAGTACACGCGCACGACGCGATCACGAACACGCGCGCGTTTCGCTCCGGCCTATTTCTTTTGCACCCACTCCCTGGAATTTCGACAGTCGGTGACAGTGGCTTCGCAAGGAAAGGTAATCAACCGGTCTTAACGTATAGAGTTTCAGACGTATTCCTTCTTATGGTGAAAATATTAAAGTGTATATATGTGTACGTGTATATGATTCTCATTGATACGTTCTCTCATTCATGTTTTATGTTTTTTCATATTTATCCGTGTATAGTGCATACACATAGTAACAATACACGTGTATCATTGCGTATATATGATCTACCATGTTTCGTATTCTATGAACGTTCACGCGCACTTCCCGCCTCAAAATACGCGCATGCGCATTTCGTTGCGTCCCTTTGCACGTGGTTGCCTATTACACATCTTCGTTTTACGTGTCTTTATTGTTAGTGATTATGAAGGATGGATACATTCAAAAAGTATTTTCGTGTATTATTCTTTAATTTCTATATAAGTGTATCTTATATATATCTCATATATGTGTGCATATATTTTCACGCTTATCGTGAACCAATTCTGCGAGATTATCGAGAGAAGGATAAAGCAAGACATCTGTGTTTTTTTTTTAGTTCGGTTAATTTAGCAAAAACTTGACTTATTCGCGATATCGATAATGTTTGATCACGAAATAACATTGTTTCCGAAATTTCCATACGGCGAGAATCGCATATGCGCAGTACGCGCATGCGTAGAACGATCGGAATATGTATTAATTTCGAATCTGTAATGAGGGCCGTTCAGTGAATCGACCTTGCTGATTCTGTGTAGGCACTCATGTATGGAAATTGCCTGTGTTAATTTCTTCTATCATTCCCTTTCCGGTTTATCGATTCGTTTCCGAAGCGGTCAAGACTGTTTTATTTTTTATTTGAAATTTAAAAATCACTTGAGCTGTTATTTACCATATAACATATATTTTCTTTTCACGATCACATTTAAAAATTTATACAATAATTATCATTCTTGTTCACGAATCGATGAATGATTTTATTATTATCGTTATTTATTAGTTAAGAGAATTCATTTCTTTCTTTCAATCATTATAAAATTAGAAAGAAATTTTTTTTATAATAGTTATTATTTTTTATTTCATTTCTTATTCATAAATTGTTCGTTCATTTGACGATCGGATCAAATATAAGTTTTTAATTATTATCTTCTTATTAAGAAAAAGTTTATTATATAATCGTTTTCCGCACATTTTGGAAAAGTACATTTTGTAGAAATATGAAAGTGTTCATACGTGTTAATGTTTAACATATGCAAATATATACATATCGTTTTATCTTGCTATTTTTCTCTGATCTGGGGAAACAAACAAAAGAGAAAGAATTGGACGAAAAACAGGATGGATCAGGGTCGAAGTTTGCAACAGGGATCACCAGATTTATTGGCCTCTTTTATTATGTCTTTTTCTGCAAATACTTTTTACCAATATCGGATCGGTGAATGTTAGTAAATAAACATGTACATCGAATCTAAAAGATAAATCCCGTCGAACTTTGGCCCCGGCACGTGGCCTCGGAAAGATCGTTCGTTCATTCGATCTGTAGGTATATACTACGTGTAGAATCATTCATTGTACTGTGCCTTTTCAGCGATCAAGTCATTCATGTTCACGATTCGAGTGAATGGAATATATAGCTCATCTAGAAGTTCACCCTAATCAATTTCTCGAGAGGGGCAACGAGGCTCGTAGTAGAACTCAATAAGGGCTTCATCGTAGTATATATCGATTCAATGGAACTCTTCGTTTGTAAATTTTTCTATCGAACTTTCGATTTGGATTATAGACTTTCATTTGAAAATTGATCTAAAAATTTTCGTATTGTTCGTAGAATTCGTATTGTTTAAATTATATTAAATATTTTTCTTTAATAGAATAGAAAATAATATTTATTTTGTTTTATTTTAGAACAATAAGAACGTAAAAAAAGTACACAATTCTATTGTGTCTGTGGAGAGGAATCGATATTTTAAATATTGTTGAGAATTTTTTCTCAAATTTAAAATTGATCGTTATGATTTTTCTCTTCTTTGGATTCTCAATATAAATAGAAATAGATTTTTATTATTCGAATTGAATTAAATTTCTAGAATATTAATGGCTAGCTACTCATGATCTCGATATTGTTCTAATTACGGATAGCAGCGAATTACGTTTGAATATCCATTTGTTGAAGAATGGCTATTCTCGAGAAAAATAGATAAATTATGGTAATTATTGTCTTTCGATCTGTCCACGAATCATGAATGGATTTATCTGTTCGATAACCTGTTTTAAATTTTGTAAATCAAATATATAAAATTTTTATAGAATATTTACAATTTGGGAGAGCATTTTAATTAGTTAGTTATCGATTATGTTCGAAACAAATTTTTAATATACATAATCGATCTGGAAGATTTAATATTAAAAAGTTTTCTATAGATACGAATTCTGTTCGTTTGAATATCCTAAAAAAAAAAAAAAAAAAAAACCATTGAGTTTCAAGTATTTACAAAATTGTTAAAGATAAGGATATTTTAACAAGATATCAAGGAATAGAGTCGAAAGTTTGTTATAGATACGATCTCCAAGTACAAGTAATATTTCAGATGATCTTATTTTTATTTTTATTAATCACTTCGATATTGA